ATCATTTTATTTTATTGAAAATATTTTTTCATATTTTTTGCCGGTGCAAGTTTAAGAGGGGAGTGGACGACCAAAATTTGAGGTCAAAATATTTTGTAGGAAAAAAATAAAAATAAAACAATATAGAGGTATGACATTGTAATTGGATCCATCTCAGTCCTTCATTCAGATATGATAAATTATGAGAAGTTAAGATTAGGGGAAGTATAGAAAGCCTGCCCTAAGACATATACTTTCCCTTGGATTTTGAAAGGGTAGAATGATCATTCCTATTACCTCTGAATAACTCTTCTTATGCCAAATATTTTTCAAAAAAAAAAATTGTACAAAAAGACTATATTTAGTTTTGGTATAAAATATTACAATCACCCTTATCTATCGACTAGGAAGTCATTTTTAATTGCTTGTGTATCTTATGTTTAATAAGCAGATATTGGTACCACAGCTGGAGCCATTAACGGAGCAGCAGTTTATAGGAATATGTAACCTTCAACAATCTTCACAACAAGCGGAGGAGGCATTGTCTCAAGGTTTGGAGGCATTGCATCAGTCCCTCGCTGATACTGTGGTTGGGGGAGGTTCACTTGGTGACCCCCCCAACCACCATGTCACAAATTACATGGCCCACATGGCCATCGCCCTTGCTAGACTTGCCAACCTTGAAAGCTTTGTTAGACAGGTGCACTTCTCTCTCTCCTCTCTTGAACATGTGGCCAACCATGTCTCCTCTCCCTGCAGATGCAAAGTCTTACAAGGCATGTTTGATAATCTCATATTTGACAGTTTTGATTTGAAAGTGATGCTATTGATGTGATTTTTGTGTTTATGATTCTATGGTCACAGGCTGATAATCTAAGGCAGCAGACACTACACCAACTTCGAAGGATTCTAACAGTACGCCAAGCGGTGAGGTGTTTTCTAGCCATAGGAGAGTACTATAGCCGCCTACGTGCTCTCAGTTCTCTATGGGCCTCTCGCCCTCGAGAGTAAGACCCCCTCCCCCTTCACTAAATAAGATAGATAGATATAAAGAGAGAGAGTTGTTTG